GGGTGAAAGGCCTTCCACTCCGCCCACTGCGGTTCCACCAATGCCGTCGCCCAATTCACTGGCCGTTCATACAACCCGCCTGTCAATGCCGAGCTCGTGTTCCACTTAAGGTGTGCGCAACAGGAATAGGGCCTAGAATGTGGATTCGTTTCGGGACGCTGAGTGGGAACAAGGACCCCTGACCCCTGCCTGCAAGGGTCTGCTGAGAGAAGTTTGGGCGGCTGAAGGATGTGCACGGCTGGATGACGGCTGCCAGAAGCCAAACAAACATCCTCACGTGGAATCTGGACATGGATAGGTTCGGTGAGGGGTTTTCACTCCGACCTGTGACTGCTTGAGCCGGGGAAAAGATCGGAAGAAGCGTTGCAAGCTCTCCTAAGTCGGAGCAAACACGGAGTCTTCCCGTCAGCGCTCTCTTGCCCCAAACCGAGTCGTTCTTCGAGGAGGCCTCGCAAGGCTAGGGGCCTAGGAAATTGGAGTCAGCTGTCTTCTGGATTGGTCTCAGGTGGGGGGTGTGAGCGGTGAGAGGATTGTGCTGAGACCAGTCGCTGCAGTGAGAGGCGAAGGAGCTGATCTTGCTGCTACAGCTAGACATGACGACAGCTCGAGCCACAGCTAGGATCACCAAAAAACATGTTTACATCTAGCAAACCAACATCCAACGCCCCTTAAACATTGAAATCAAAGCTCGCTGCAAGGTAGCATGGTGGCAGCCAGGCATGAGTCATGAGTACTTTCAGCATGTGGCACGACAAAGGCAGCCCCCCCGCATCCGAAAGAAGTCTGAGGAGCACAAGCTTGCGGCACACGCGAACATCATATGCATGCTGTCAGAATAGAAATACATCGCCACTCCCCAGGCGCAGCACACCGCGCAGGCTAATCTCCAAATCACCCAGCAGTGTGGCTCGAAGCGCAGACGACACACAGCGTTTACGATTAAAAGATGAAGACTACGCTGAAGGTTCTTTCGATCCCGAGAAATGTCGCCGCAATCTTCTCAGCATTCCGGGAAATGCATGGGTTGCATTCTCCAGCGCCAACATGCCAAGGCGCACGTAGACTTTCAAGGAAATCACTGAGAGCTGCGGGCTGCGATGCTACCAGGCGGTACTCTTGTCGAGGCGGAGGGAAGACTTTCTTGCTGCTAGAGGCA